TTCTGAGATTCTGAGATTCTGAGATTCTGAGATTCTGAGATTCTGAGATTCTGAGATTCTGAGATTCTGAGATTCTGAGATTCTGAGATTCTGAGATTCTGAGATTCTGAGATTCTGAGATTCTGAGATTCTGAGATTCTGAGATTCTGAGATTCTGAGATTCTGAGATTCTGAGATTCTGAGATTCTGAGATTCTGAGATTCTGAGATTCTGAGATTCTGAGATTCTGAGATTCTGAGATTCTGAGATTCTGAGGCTCTAAGTTCCTGAGATTCTGAGATTCTGAGATTCTAAGATTATGAGATTCTGAGATTCTGAGATTCTGAGATTCTGAGATTCTGAGATTCTGAGATTCTGAGATTCTGAGATTCTGAGATTCTGAGATTCTGAGATTCTGAGATTCTGAGATTCTGAGATTCTGAGATTCTGAGATTCTGAGATTCTGAGATTCTGAGATTCTGAGATTCTGAGATTCTGAGATTCTGAGATTCTGAGATTCTGAGATTCTGAGATTCTGAGATTATGAGATTCTGCGATTCTAAGATTATGAGATTCTGAGATTCTAAGTTCCTGAGATTCTGAGATTCTGAGATTCTAAGATTATGAGATTCTGAGATTCTGAGATTCTGAGATTCTGAGATTCTGAGATTCTGAGATTCTGAGATTCTAAGATTATGAGATTCTGAGATTCTAAGTTCCTGAGATTCTGAGATTCTGAGATTCTAAGATTATGAGATTCTGAGATTCTGAGATTCTGAGATTCTGAGATTCTGAGATTCTGAGATTCTGAGATTCTAAGATTATGAGATTCTGAGGTTCTAAGTTCCTGAGATTCTGAGATTCTGAGATTCTAAGATTATGAGATTCTGAGATTCTGAGATTCTGAGATTCTAAGATTATGAGATTCTGAGATTCTAAGATTATGAGATTCTGAGCTTCTGAAATTTTTCAAAAACAATGAATAACATTTTTTAGCTTCTCCCAAACTAGAATCAAAGCACAAAAAGCATCGCAATGATTAGTCCAAACAGTTTCTTGAAGAAGTTCCAACAGAGCATTGGTCACTTCGAAATCTCATTTCAAAGTCTCCAATTGGTTGTTTTCTTCTTCTTTTTTATCTCCAACACACAGAAGGGAATTAATTTCTCTTTCCTTTTTCTTTCCTCCATTCGTAACTCTATAGCTTCTCCTTTTTCGCCCATTTTAGTTCATCCCCCTCCTCCAATTCTTTCGTCTCAATTATTCATTCGTTTCGTGTGAACTAGTCTATCACTATTCCTTTTTCTGTCGAAAACAGACATCACAAGTGGCCCCTCTAGAAAAAAGGAAACATTTTTAGGAATTGACAAAATGAAATTTCGTGCGGTCAATTCAACGAAAACTCCCATAAACGTCTTCTCTTCTTTCCTTAAAATTTTTTCTGAATTTTTTGAAAAAGGTTACAATTCTGCTAAAAATTTGTAGCTGAAATTTTGTAGCTGACTACAATGCATTCCTTTACCAGCACAAAAACCAAAATCTGTTAGCGGGAGAAAAATAAATAAATCAGTTGTTTCTGTTCATTTCACATTTTCTGTCACATTACTTCCAAGAATATAAAATAGGACCTTATTAACGTTTCTTCTTCTATCGCTATAATGAGTTTCAGTGTTTTCTATGCAGCGGTCTTCTATATATTTTTTTCGCTGACAAGTTTAATGAAAAATATAATTATAACTGACTTGTATAACTTGCGAGTTAGGTGGTCAGATGATATTTTTCAATTAAAACATGGATTTTTAGTACTGTTTACCTTCCAAAAATTTCAAACTTACCGTTTCCTCTAATAGGAGCCCACACCGAAACTTCGAGCTCAATTATCTCGATTCGTGTGAGAGGTATCAAAAAATCGTAAACTGACAAAATATTGGTGATATTATAATGAGCAACTTATCAGTTGACAACTTTTTTATATCTTTCACAGAAATCGAGATAATTAGGGTTCAAGACAGTTGGGGCGACTTCATAGCGCAATGGTGCAACATCCCTAATGTTTTGCGACTTCTCGAAACTTGAATTTTGAAATATTCTTGGCAAGAGCGTCCAAAAAACATGTTTAAGAATCTCGCTCTCTGAAAATCCCATAGTCAGAGTTGAATTTTGATAACATTTCAGAGTAATGTAGTATTCAAATCTTGAAGTCTGAAAGCCCTGAAATTTTAGAGTTTTGGAGTTTAAAGATATCTCAAAATTGATAGTTAAATCGAATGGCTTGAAAATCCTGGAATTCTAAAATCTCCAAGTTGCCAGAATTTTCAAATTTCATAATTACAAAAAGACCTGTAAAAGAATGGCTTGCCCACTTTCAACCCATATATCTAGTTTTCTATAAAAGATAGACAAAAGTTTTCAACTAAAAAATTTTTTATCATAATATCAAAAACATTTTATCAGTTGACACATTTTTGGTATCTTTTATAGCAGCACAGATAATTAAGCTCAAAATTGACAGTGTGGGGGCCCATTTATCACATTTCCCATTTTTACTTTTGACCCTGTTCCAAACCCTCCCTAACCCATTTTTGGTTATTTTCGGTCCCCACGAGTTCAACTTTTCATTTTCTCTCTTTTTTCTTCTTTTTTTTTCGGTTTGGTTTTTGACCCATTTTTAAACCCATAACTCGCCATCAGCGGTCCCTTTTGTCGTGTGATCTTCACCCTCTTAAAATAACTTTTTTCTTTTCCAGTCATCTCGTTTTCCTTCTCGTCATTCATTCACATTAACTAATCCTTTTTTGTCATCTCCAGCTCCACTCTAGATTTCAAATTGGCTTCTTCTACTGCGATTCCTCTCCCTTCGTTCTTCCTTATGACCCACACCACGGATTATTCTTCCCCCGAAACAAAACAGAAGGAAAATAAAACGAAAATCGTCACTAATCTTCTCTAAATTATATGTACTCGATCTTTTCTCCTTTACTATGATTTTTGCCCTCCCTTGAATTCTTTTAGCACCGAAAATCTGTCCCCGCCTCCGTCATTCATTCTTCGGTTCTTTCAAGGAGTTGCAAGTTTATATTCAATTTTAACTCCAAAGCTCTCTGTTGGAGTTGTGGTGTAGCGGTTAACACACTTAGCTTTTGCCAGTGATACGCAGGTTCGAGTCCAGCAGGCGGCAACTTTCTTTGAAAAGTTGCCCTTCCTGTTGACTGTTTTCAACAAAAAAAGAGAAAAGAAGATAGTAGGTTTTTTCTTCGTTTCCTGTTGTCAGCCTACGTTTTATTTGACTTTCTGAGTTTTAAAGAAAATTTTGAATTCTGAATTTTGCTTCATCTTGTTTGCACACCAACAGGAAACAAGTTTTGTACAAGTTTTTTTGAATTTTTGGATAGTTTATTTGAAACCTACAGTATCCCATTATTGTTTTTAATCTCAATTTTTCCCCGTACCAACTTTTATTGCTTTTCTCTCTATCTTCCAAATTCCTATCTAATTGAATTTTCAGCTAACATTTTTGCTTTGGAGATTATCGACCAACTTTAATTATCAATATATTTTTTAGTTCTTGATCTCATAAACTGAAGCTCCTCCAAAAGTTGCTAACTTCTTTTGTGAGAGCGTTTTTACTTGTTTTCTTTGTGGTCTTTTAGATTTTCCAGCATTTTTTGTCGCAAATTTTACTGAAAATATGAGATTTTGAGTGCACTCGAGTGTTCAAAAAATCCTGAAATTTTGAGACTCTGATTCTGAAGATACGATTATTAGGAAAGATCCGGCGATTCTGAAGGATTCTTAGGTTCGAAGATTCTGCAGTTTTCAAATTCTGAGATTCTGAAATTCTGAGATTCTAAGTTCCTGAGATTCTGAGATTCTAAGATTATGAGATTCGGAAATTCTGGAATTCTGAGATTCTGAAATTCTGAAATTCTGAAATTCTGAAATTTTGAAATTTTGAGATTCCGAGATACTGAGATTCTGAGATTCTGAGATTATGAGATTCTGAGATTTTGAGATTCTGAGATTCTGAGATTCTGAGATTCTGAGATCCTGAGACTTTGAAATCTTAAAATTCTAATATTCTAAAATTATGAAGTTAAAATATTTTAATATTCTGATGTTTTTAGATTCTGTAATTCTGAAGCATGACATTCCTGCATAACTTCAACATTCCTACAAACTACAAAATACACATCATAAACATTCCATTGTTTCTCTATTTGTTTTTCTCTCTCCCTCTCAACAACTGTTTTGAACCTGTCTTTCTTTTTCAACAGCTTATCTTTTATCATTTAAATTTTCAGACAAAAAAATGAACTCATCTAACTATTATTATTCCACAAATGCCACATTTGTTGGCTCCTCTTCTGGATTCCATCAGATTCTTGCAATAACTCTAATGACAATAAAAGTACTACTGAATTCGGTTGGACTACTTTTGAACTGTCTCTTACTTTATATGATAATTCAAAATTTCCAAAAACTTCACAAAACATTCAGCATTCTTTTGACCTATACTCTTATAAACGATTGTTTAATTTCAGTTACTCTACTATTAACAATTAAAAGGTTAGTAGTTCTATGATATTTTGTTTCGATGATCTCTATGTTTCATATATTCCAGAATAATTCAATGTCATGAGACCCTTGCAATGGTCTTCTTCGGTCCATGCACTCTAATATCCACACCATTCTGTCATGTTCTCGATGCAGTTCATCTCCATGCGCTTCAGAATTGGATCTTATCTCAAATTCTTTTAATTGGCTTTCGAACTGCAATGTTATCATCTGCTCAATCATTTCTTTCTGTTAAACGGACTATATTCTTCTGTCTATTGGCATGGTTGCCGGGTTTGGTTTCGTTGGTGAGTTGATAAAAATGAAATTCTTATAGGAGGCAGTGATGCTCGGAACGGCCTTTTTGGAACTTTTCGGAATTTCTAAAATTCCGCTTTTCGAAATTTCGGATATTCGGAATTTTCTGATTTTGAGAAATTTCGAATTCCGTTCCAAACATACCTGAAAAGAGGGCAAATACTCAATTGCTAGAAGATCATTTGCTAGAATTGTCTCATTGGCTTGAAAATTTGACTCGTTTATTATACTTATACTTTTTGTCGACTAGAATTTTCGCTCCTTTGTTGGAATTTTTCGCTCATTTTTTAAAACAAATATACACCTGGGACATACTCTGAAGAAAAATGCTTGGAATTTACAAATTTGAGAAAAAAAACGGAAACTTTACGATTTTAAGAGAATTTTTAGTTTTTTTTTCATACTTTTCAGATTTTTTTTTAAAGAGAGACCCTGACCAAAACATTTAATTGCATTAAAATATTTAAAAAGTTATGCATTCTCCTATTCTTCCGAAAACATCCAAAAAATCCGAAATCCCCTAAAACCGTAGTCGAAAATGTATATTACTCTCGTCCGAAATCAATGCACGTTGTGGCCGAAAATTTACTCAAAATCGCATCGTCGGTCGCACAGCGAAAACAACAAATTGATGCATGCGCCTTTAAATACCGTACCTCAGAAGGTTTTTTTCGGGCCTTATTTGCCTGTTTTTTTCTATTTTATAAAAAAAATAAATTAAAGATTTATAAGAATTACACAAAATTAGACAGAAATAAGCGAAAAAATAAGAGAAAAAGACAAAAATTCAATAAATGTTGAGGTACTGTATTAAAGGCGCGTGCAATAATTTGAAAATACAGTAGTGTTCTTTCTGAGAGCAAAGAAAAGAAAAAAGTGGGAAGAACATTATTGCGGAGCGCTTGGGATGGAATACCACCGCCAATTTGGTTCCAAACTGGGTCAAGCTTCCAGGATGGCTGATCTGGGCCGGAAACAGTCGTTTGTAAATTAAACTGAGAATGTGAATAACTGGAACTATTTTTTAAAATTATCTTTTTGACAAGTGAGATTCAAATAAATTTTGACATAAATGTAAATTTTTTTTATTCATCGAGGTTGAAAACAAGAAAAAAATAATGATCATTAAATATTTTTTCAATCAACCCGTTTCTTTTCAAACTATTCACAAATTAACAACTTCGTCGGAACTTCCTTCCAGAAACATGACTTTTGGATGGGCAGAGAATTTTCTGAAATTATTTAAAACTTTATTATTTTTCAAGTCAATATCAAACTTACGATATAATGAGTCGATAATACCCCTTGATCATTTTTCGATACGGTCGGAAGCAGCACATTGCGATTACTGGATTT